AATGACAAGTTTGGTTATTGTGGATTCAGGGGAAGAGAAGCCGGCACAGGATGTGTCTAATATGGATGTTAATGAATTACTTACTAGCAGTAAGGTATTGAAACAATCCAATATACGTGAACCTGAACAAAAACTTGATCCAAATTTTATACGATCTTCCCTTGGAGTTCACTCATTTGCTAACAAAGAGAGTCATAGTCCTGAATCAAGAAGACACTCTAATTGCTCACATAGCATAAACGATGTCCAAATTACCTCTTCACTGTTTTCACAACCTTCGTTTAATGGATCTGTCATTGCCGATGATCCTAAAAGATACAGAAATGCAGAAATGTCACTTCAAACTCATGATCCTCTTACTAACCCAAAAGATGATGGGAATGAAAATCCTGAGATAGCTTCTCCAGTAGCATCCAAAAGTCTATTGAACGTCATATCAAAATTCCCTAGTGGACTCCAGAAGTCTCATGTGAGTGAAGCCAGCTTGGAGGCTACATCTGTCGCATCTTCTCAGTATCAGGCTGACTTCAATCTTGTTTTGGAAGACTCTGAAGATGGACAGCAAGACGTCTCAAAAAGGGGGAAATTACTGGAGTACACAGAAAACACAGGCTTTCATCTCCAAGTAGGAAACCGTGGCAGTTCTGCAATGAATTCTTGGGTAAGAGAACATGATGATTTTGAGAATTCCTGTAACGTAGCCATGGATAATCTAAATGACTCTATACCAGTGAGTGAAGCCTTGATGGAAAGTGGTGATGACATGCCTATTGGCAAAAAGAAGCGGGCTCGAAGAATTGTTTCTGATAGTGAAGATGAAGATAATTCAGTCATGATTTTGGATGAAAATTTGCTTGAAAAAATGTTCTCACCCTTAAACAGCCCTCTATGTCCATCTCTGATGGGGATTACTTCATCTACTCCCAAATGTGATAGATCTATAGTAGACCCCATTTTTTCCCCAAGAGGAAACAGGTCTACAGCTTCTAGAAGATCTCTTATTAATGTAGTGTTGGACCAGGTTGAGGATATTGAAGAAACCATAGGAGTTCTCAGCCAAAGAGAGGATAGTGATGAGGTGCAAGAAGAACTTGTGGTAGAAGAAGCTGAAGAGCATAGTGTGGAGTCTGTGAAGCCTGAGGAAGAACCTATTGGAGAAACACTTGATACAGAAAGTACAACCAGTTATTTAGATGATACAGAGTCTGTCATATCTGAGGCAGATGAAATTGAGGAAGAGCCTCAAGAGGAATCTACTGGTGATCCTGAGCTGCTATCTGGTGAGCAAATGGACTGTTTTTCAAAGGAGAGTGCAGGCCAGAAAGATAATCAGACCACTGTGGATTCTCTTCATGCACCAGATAATTATGATGCCCTGATAGAATGTGGGAAAAAACTGAGAGACAATGGAAAACTACAAGATGCATTGAACTGTTTCCTGCAAGCTCTTGACATAAAAAATGGAGATCCTGAAGTTATGCTTATAACCTTAAATTTGTATAAACAACTATCACAGAGTTGAGGATTTTGGTTACAAGTCAATTCTCAAAAGAACAATCACAAACCCAATCTCACTTTTTCTGAGGGGAAGGACCAAAACAAAACTTTGATCTAAGCTACAGAATTTACTTGGATAATGGACAAGATTTGACTTTTTAAAAGGCTGGCACTGACAGAAGCTACAGTGAGGTGAGACTAAAACTACAAGAGAGACTTGGGAGGTAACCATACTCAATTTTTTTTAAGAGGATAGAGCAAATTTTACAATTGCATCTCTGTGAGCAAGGTATTGTTTCAAGAACAATTTGTAACTAGCACTTGGGTGCTGGAGAGAAGGGTCTTCATTTTGCATGCAGTTCACAAAGGCAAAAAGTCACACTAATTGTATGTTTAGAAAAATGTTTAAAGTTTAAAAAAAAAATACTACTTTCTATACTCCATGTCTGTTTTATTTGCAATATACTAACTTTACAGTTGCAGCCTATGTCGGTCACTGAAGCATGTGGTCATCTGATTTAATGCTGGGAAACTGTTACAGCTGGGCCCCTGAACTGGACTAGTACAAGGGTTCTATGGTACCCATTGCTACTCACTTGTGTCCTTGATGTTATGTCTCATTAACTATGCTAGGAGTGCTGTGTGTCTGCCCCAAACTTCCTATGGGGGGATTACTGAACTTTTCATCTTGGCACAGACACCTTCAGAACAGTCAGGAGTAGCTTCAACCCATCCAGCTACTGCTGTGGATTTAACTTGCCTTCTCTAGGAAGATGGGAGAGAGCAAAGCACTGCCAAGTTGGGAGTATCTGGTGGTGGGAGCAGGCTGGTACACTGTCTTGGTAGATGCTGCCTTGTCCTATGGCTACCCCTCTAGCTATTGGGGAAGGGCGATGTGGGACAAGGGTTCTTTTCCTAAATCCTTGTAGCCAAAATACACAATGTTTGTTGTAACTAAGCTACATCTCTTTCCAGGGTTAGGCTCATGCTCTGACATGAATTCAAATGTGGGACTAGGCAATAATCAGCATGTCCCCTCCCATAAGAGGCTCAAATGAGAACAAGCCTTCTGGCTGCTGTGCCCTCTTGCGGTCTGTTTGGAAGAGCAGATGTGCCTTCTCCCCATACCACATTAAGGGGGGCATCTGCCTGAGCATAGTTACTGAAGTAATTCATATGTTTACTGAATAAAAACGAGGAGTCCTTGTGGCACCTTAGAGACTAACACATTTATTTGGGCATGGGCCATAGCCCAGTTTTCAGCCTTTGCTTAGACAGATCAGTGCAACATCCACGCAGGAATTAACTTAAATTTCACTTGTGTGGACTGCATTTGTAGTTGGCTTGTGCTGTGAGACAATAGGTGTGTGACTTTTGCCAGAGGTAGTGAGCAGCCATGCATCTTGATGATCAGAGTCTCTGAAAATTAGGCACAAGGATGTCCTAAACTTGGTTGCCAGTTTCATAGATTCCAAGGCCAGCAGGGACCATTATGATGATCTGCTCTGATCTCCTGTGTAACACAGACCATAGACCTTCCCCAAAATAATTCCTAGAGCAGATCTAGGAAAAACATCCAATGTTGATTTAAATATTGTCAGTGATGGAGAATCCATGACCCTTGGTAAATTGTTCCAATGGCTAAAAATTACACCTTATTTCCAGTCTCAACACTATTTGCTAGGCCTCTGGTCTCTTGACCAAACTCTGGACTTTGGGTCTGGAAAAGAGCTGGCACAATCCATATACCAGGTTGTTATATAAAATGCACATGGATTTTAACCCTTCAAGGATGATCTTTTTTATACCATCTAAGCACTGAGCAGGGCCACTGTGCCCTGACAGCAATGAATTGCACTGTTCCATTCTGGTACTCTCCTATCACTCCAGGCCATCTCTGCCCAACTATGCTTGGTTTATTTCCTTTGTGCTAAGGAGTGAAGAAGGGACATCAAGGGGCAATGCAGAGATGCCAGTGTGAGGAAAATGATGTCCCACATTGCAAAGAGTCACTCTCCCTTATTGTTATGGAGAAGGTTCATTGTGGCAGTGGGACACAGGAGTCAGAAGCACATTAACCAAACTTCTCTGCCTCCAATTGCCAAACTCTTCCATGGGCATCTGATGTGCTTCCATCACACCCCTACTCCAGTTGCCAAAACTGTTCTCTCTGCCCATCCTCTGTCCTTCCCATTCTTCAGTGGCTTTGCTCTAGTCACCTATTCTGCTGAGGGAATGGTGACAAGACAGTGATGCAGCAAGTGTTCCCCAGGTCCACTGCAGAACACTTAGCTGTAGATGGTTCTTCAACAGCTGAAAAATCTCTTGAGTACCTTTAATCAACAGCTACTATCTGCCCTATTAGAACTAGTTCAAAGGCCGAATTAGATGCAAAGGGGTCCTGTCGCTGCAGTGACCACTCACAACTGAGCTGGCCTGCCTTCCACAGCATTTCAGCACTATGTTCAGTTAAGCTTGGTTAACTAGAGTTGTATGGTTTTTACATTAATTTGTGGTGTTACTCATTTCTGAACCACCTGTCTCACTGACAATGACCTTAGTGAGAAGCATTGTGGCCATACTACTTCACAACATTATTGATGTGAATAGCAAGGACTCTTAGGCATGTACACAGCTAGGCCTCCTAGCTTGAGCAACCAAGTGAAATATTTTGTAAACTAATCAGTGCGGAGGTGGGGTCATGAGATTACTTCCCATCTGGAATGGGTCATACTGAATGCAAAAGGTGCTAACTTATTCTATTCTTAAGAACAGTGCTGGTGGTGGAATCTCTGGGGGTTGAATTCAGGGGAAGCCAGATTTCAATTCCCCCTGAGAAACCAATGTTGGGGAAGATAGACTGCCTGGGTCTAACATATTTTGCTACATGTAACCTTTGGAAAGGCAGTCTTCCCTCCTTTCACAGCTCCTGCTCATGTGGCTAAGCCCTTGCCTCCAGTAATGCAGAAAGCCTTTGTGAAAGTAAGGCCAAAGTGACAACTTTAAATATGCTTCTATTCTCAGCACCAACATCTACATGGCTGGCTTCTCATTTGCACGTTGCGAAAGCAACACCCAACACACCAACAAAGTACTCCTATATATTAGATTCAAGAGATAGGAAACAGATTACAAATGTGTTACAAGAGGGTTGCACATTTAATTGCTCCTGGAGGCTGAGCTCTAAGTGCAATGCAGGTGTGGGGCAGGGGAGTGTGCACTCTGGAGGGTCTGAAGGGGATTGGTGGGAGTTGGGGGAAAGGGTATACAGCTTTACCTACATAAGCAATTAAGGCCTGGTCCACACTAACTCCCCACTTCGAACTAAGGTACCCAAATTCAGCTACGTTATTAACGTAGCTGAATTCGAAGTACCTTCGTTCGAACTTACCGCGGGTCCAGACGCGTCAGGCAGGCTCCCCTGTTGATGCCGCGTACTCCTCTCGCCAAGCTGGAGTACCGGTGTTGACGGCGAGCACTTCCGGGATCGATTTATCGTGTCTAGACAAGACGCGATAAATCGATCCCAGAAGATCGATTGGTTACGGGCCGGACCAGGAAGTAAGTGTAGACCTGCCTTAAGTGTGTGATGCTGTAGTCACTGCTGCCTGTGATGTATGTGGGCAGCAGCAGAGGGGGCCAGAGAGCTTCCTCTGCCTGCAGTACCAAATGGGCACTCTGTGGACTTGACTTGAAATCAGGCTTTTTTGGTTTTCACCCAAATCAATAGGATTTTGCCTATTAATGCTTGGAATTGATCAGATGTGGTTTTCAAAAGTTATCACCTTATAGACAAATGCCATTAAACAGAATGTAGGGCCTCAGTTTAGCTGGCTAATTAGTGATCATAGCAACACTGGCTCACAGACACTTCACCCAAAGGATGTTTAACACAAATCTCTCAAGCTGATTTATACTTGGGTATTTATGGCACCTCTCAGTGCAAACCATTTACAAAGCCAGTCCAGAATCCTCCTTTTCAGAATAAATCCAGAGCACTCCCCACTGGCAAGAGAAGCTCCAGTGATATGATGGGCTCCTTAAAGTCCAGTGCTTTTAGTTTTAATTTCTAAGAAGAGGTGATTCTCAGCAGGAATGCTGGGGTCATCATGTTCCCCTCTCTCTGTCCTGGAGAGAAATGGTTGGGATCCACAGGGAAGTGCTGAGACAGGGCTCCTTTTTAATTCTGTTTCCTGATGTATGCAAGGACTGTTGGTTTTGAGTTCTTGAGTTTAATACTTCCCCTTTGCTGGAAAAGAAGGAAGCCAGTTTATATAATGGAGTGAGTGTGACTGTTTCTCCCTATGTTCATTAATTGCTCCCAGTGAAATCTACTTTAGACCATCTAGGTTTACAAACTGAGGCTGAATTAGACTTCTGGATTTTCCTGGATAAACTAGGCTGGTAAAATGGCTTTCTCCGTGGACCCAAAGTTGCAACTGCAAGGAGATTTTTTTCCATGGATTTTATATGAAGTCTACTAATACTATTCCAATAGGTCAACCCATCCATGTCAGCAGTCCAGGAAAAGCAAGGGCTGCTCAACTGCTCCACTTCTCACGAAGTAAGAATCTCACATGCCCCACACAACAAAGGAGATTTCAATAACTGCCTGAAGACATTACCTGGAAGTGCTTTGCTAGGTACCGACAACTTCTTTCCGTTGGCTCCCACCCTGCCACGTCTATAATCTGTAAACTGGGGTAAAATTGTACAAAAGAAATGGTGTGGACACCATCACCAAACATGCTGCATGCATGCACATACACACCTGAGTCCTATAGATCCCCAACCCTAACAACTCCCACAACAAATCTGCTGGGAAGTTCCTAATCAGTGAATAGAACAGTAAGTGTCAGCTTCACTCTTTTTTGTATTTTATTTTCTCCCTTCAATCATAATTATGTGGTATCCAAACTTCGTTTTGACAGGAGGGTCTGTGTACACTGGCTTATCCATACTGCTGACAGCCAAGGCGAATGCTGCTTCCTGGAAAGGTCCCACCATAGAACCTCTGGTCATCCAGCCCAAGTCTCCCTGAAAGAGAGTCAACAAAAATGGCCAGGTCTGAAAATCCCATTTCAAAACATGCCCAGAGCTGCATTGTGAGACAGAGTGGGTAACATTTCTATAAAGCAGAGAGAAAAATCCAACAAACAGGGTTTTAAAGAACAAATGATCTTTTTCCATTCAGTGCTTGGAACCTTAAACTTTGCAGCTATCTACTACTGCACAGATGTGCGTGGAATGACAGTATCATCAGATACTATGGCAATGTGTGCAGTATAAAATCCTATATAAAACAGAGCATAAGAATGGCCAAACTGAGTCAGACCAATGGTCCATCTAGCCCAGCATCCTGTCTTCCAACAAGTGGCCAATGTCAGATGCTTCAAAGGAAATGAACAGAACAGGGCAATTATCAATGATCCATCCCGTGTCATCCAGTCCCAGCATCAAAGTCTTAGGGACACCCACAGAATGGGTGCATCCCTGGCCATCTTGGCTAATAGCCACTGATGGACCTATGCTCCATGAACTTATCTAGCTATTTTTTTAAATTTAGTTATGGTCTTCACCACATCCCCTGGCAACAAGTGGCACAGGTTGACTGTGCAGTGTGTCAAGAAGTACTTCCTTTTGTTTTAAACCTGCTACCTGTTAATTTCATAGGGTGACCCTGCTTCTTAAGTGAAGGGGCATTTAATACTTCCTTACTCACTTTCTCCATACCATTTATGATTTTATAGGCCTTTATCATATCCCCCCCTTAATTATCTCTTTACTCCTGGGGGAATTCTGTGCCAAAGTATTAAAAATTCTGCACCAAAAAAATTTAAATTCTGCACATTTTGTCAAAATAATGCAATATAATCATGCCAGTTTCAATTATTTTGGTGATTTATTTAAACTACAATACGATGGAGAATGGGAGTGGGGAGCACTGGAGGAAATCCCCAAACCCCCTTTGTCTAATAGTAATGTAGACAGGTTTGACCCTTTATTTCTAGTTATTAGTCAACAAATATATGCAGCCATATGGTCAGTGTTGCATCATAGGCAACTGAAGAGCAAGTGAGGGCTGGGGAATGAAACTCACAATTTATATTGGCTACTGACCATCTCCAGGAAGGTAAGTACCAAACAGTTAATGGAGCACATTTTGATAGGAATTTTTTTCAGTCCAAAAATTTAGACCAGTTCTAGTCACTAAAGCACCATAAGAATTTATAAGGCCTTTACATCACTCTGGCAATGTAAATGAGCCTTAAAACTTTTACACCTGTTTTATACTCCTGGGGGAATTCACAAAGACATTGGAACAATTCACTAAGGCAGGCTGCTACATTCTGTTCTGCCCCATGCCTACCTCCTCAGAAACACCCCACAGCCGAAACTCTCCACACCGAACGTGCCACAATAGCGAGCAAGAGGGACAGTGTTTCTCTCCCTCTCACATGCATGACTGCCCAGCCTCCCGACCCCATCCCAGTGGTTATTTACGTCTCTACTGGCTGCTCCGGGCGCCCGAACCAACCTGCCTGCGCTGCCAGGGAAGGGTACATGACCGCTCTTGTGGGTTTCCCTTTGTTTCCCCATCAGAAGTCATTTTTCTGCGGGGAAGCAAAGAAATCCGCAGGGAACATGAGTTCTGCACATGCGCAGCATGCAAAATTCCCCCAGGAGTATCTCTTTTCCAAGCTGTACAGTCTGTCTTTTTAATCTCTCTTCATATAAAAGCTGTTTCATACCCTTAATCATATTTATTGTTTGGACCTTTTCCATTTCTAATTATCTTTTTTGAGATAGGGTGACCAGGATTGCATGCAGTATTCAAGGTGTAGGCGTACCATGGATTTATATTGTGGTGGTATGATATTTACTATCTTATTATTTATCTCTTTCCTAATGGGTCCTACATTGTTAGCTTTTTTGACTGCTGCTGCATATCAAGCGGATGTTTTCAGAAAACTATCCACGACTCCAAGATGTCTTCCTTGAGTAGTAACAGCTTATTTAACCCCATCAAAAACATTTCCTGAATCTTTGTTGTCTGTATTGTTAGAATACAGAGGGGTAGCCGTGTTAGTCTGTATCCACAAAAACAACGAGGAGTCCAGGTGGAATTCTTCAAGGGCCTCCTTCCCGTGGGGCCATATGATGAAGATGTCATCAATGTAGCATAAGTAGAGGAGGGGCGCTAGGGGACAAGAGCTGAGGAAGTTCTAAGTCAGCCATAAAAACATCTTGGGGACTCTTTCTGCCCCACCACCCCCACTCACGATACATTTCTGCGGTGATCTGGAAGCCTACTTTCACCGTCTCTGACTCAAAGAATATTTTCAACACACCACTGAACAGAGCACTGACCTACAGGAACCCTCTTACCAACACTACAAGAAGAAGAATTCTGCGTGGACTTCTCCTGGTGGTCAAAATGACAGACTGGACTTCTACATAGAGTGCTTCTGCAGATGTGCACAGGCTGAAATTGTAAACAAACAGCATTACTTGCCCCATAACTTCAGCTGTACAGAACACAATGCCATCCACAGCCTCAGAAACATCTCTGACATTATAATCAAAGTGGATGACAAAGGAGGTGCTGTAGTCATCACGAACAGGTCGGATTATGAACAGGAGGCTGCCAGACAACTCTCCAACACCACATTCTACAGGCCACTATCCTCCGATCCCACTGAGGCGTACCAAAAGAAGCACCATCTGCTCAAGAAACTCCCTGCTACAGCACGGGAACAAATCTACACAGACACACCCCTAGAGCCCCAACCAGGGGTATTCTATCTACTACCCAAGATCCATAACCCTGGAAATCCTGGACGCCCCATCATCTCAGGCATTGGCACTCTTACAGCTGGATTATCTGGCTATTTGGACTCTCTCCTCAGACCCTACACTACCAGCACTCCTAGCTATCTTCGAGACACCACTGACTTCCTGAGGAAACTACAATGCATTGGTGATCTTCCTGAGAACACCATCCTGGCCACCATGGATGTAGAAGCTCTTTACACCAATATTCCACACAAGGATGGACTACAAGCTGTCAGGAACAGTATCCCTGATGAGGCCACGGCATACCTGGTGGCTGAGCTTTGTGACTTTGTTCTCACCCACAAACATTTCAGATTTGGGGACAACTTATACCTTCAAGTCAGTGGCACTGCTATGGGTACCCACATGGCCCCACAGTATGCCAACATTCTTATGGCTGACTTAGAACAACGCTTCCTCAGCTCTAGTCCCCTAGCGCCCCATCTCTACTTACGCTACATTGATGACATCTTCATCATATGAATCCACGGAAAGGAGGCCCTTGAAAAATTCCACCAGGATTTCAACAATTTCCACCCCACCATCAACCTCAGCCTGGACCAGTCCACACAAGAGATCCACTTCCTGGACACTACAGTGCAAATAAGTGATTGTCACATAAACACCACCCTATACCGGAAACCTACTGACCGCTATACTTACCTACATGCCTCCAGCTTCCATCCAGGACACATCATATGATCCATTGTCTACAGCCAAGCCCTAAGATACAACTGCATTGGCTCCAATTCCTCAGACAGAGACAAAGACCTACAAGATCTCTATCAAGCATTCTTAAAACTACAGTACCCACCTGGGGAAATGAGGAAACAGATTGACAGAGCGAGACGGGTACCCAGAAGTCACCTACTACAGAACAGGCCCAACAAGGAAAATAAGAGACCACCACTGGCCATCACGTACAGCCCCCAGCTAAAACCTCTCCAGCGCATATCAACGATCTATCCTGGAAAACAATCCCCCACTATCACAGGCCTTGGGAGGCAGGCCAATCCTCGCTTACAGACAGCCCCTCAACCTGAAGCAAATACTCACCAGTAACTACACACCACACCACAGAAACACTAACCCAGGAACCAATCCCTGTAACAAACCCCGTAGCCTTCTCTGTCCCCATATCTACTCTAGCAACACCATCATAGGACCCAACCACACCATCAGAAGCTCATTCACCTGCACATCTACTAATGTGATATATGCCATCATGTGCCAACAATGCCCCTCTGCCATGTACATTGGCCAAACCGGACAGTCTCTGCGTAAAAGGATAAATGGACACAAATCAGACATCAGGAATGGTAAAAAGCCAGTAGGAGAACACTTCAATCTCCCTGGACACACAATAACAGATTTAAAAGTAGCCATTCTTCAACAAAAAAACTTCAAAAACAGACTTCAAAGAGAAACTGCTGAGCTACAATTCGTTTGCAAACTTAACGCCATCAATTTGGACTTGAATAGGGACTGGAAGTGGCTGGCTCACTACAAAAGCGGTTTTCCCTCTCTTAGTATTGACACCTCCTCATCAATTACTGGGAGTGGACAACATCCACCCTGACTAAATTGGCCTTCAACATTGGTTCTCCACTTGTACGGTAACTCCCTTCTCTTCATGTGCCAATATATATTTATGCCTGTATCTGTAATTTTCACTCCATGCATCTGAAAAGTGGATTTTTTTACCCACGAAAGCTTATGCCCAAATAAATGTTAGTCTTTAAGATGCCACCGGACTCCTCATTGTTTTTGTGTATTGCTAGACATACTTGCTGACAGGTATTTTGAAATAAATTACTAAAATAATTGAAACTGGTGTGATTATATTGTGTTATTTTGACAAATAAAATATGCAGAATTTTAAAATGTGAGCAGAATTTTAATTTTTTTGGTGATGAATTCCCCTAGGAGTAAAGAGCTAGAGATAGTGTTCTGTCAAGGGGGTCTGGCTATGGATTGAGTTTCCTGAGAGGGTCAGATTAATGTGGAGTGGAAGTACTTTGAGTGCATACTGTAACACCCTCCTCTGTGACAGAGCATTTCCCTGCAAAACTAGATTGATGGGGCAGGTGGAGAAATATGGCCCACGCAAAGACTCTTATTTCAAGGAAGGGGGAAGAGCAGGAGATCCAAGAAGTCAATAAGAGACTTTCCAATGCAATCTCATTTATCTGCTAAGTGCTATGACACCACTGATAAGTACTATGGAACTTGGTAGATTTCCCAGAGTCCCAGTCTCCTGCTAACAACTAGATGAGGGGTGGCCAAACTTACTGACCCTCTTCAGAAGAACAAGAGCTGGGCGTGCCTGCTGGTGCTCGGGGCTTCAGCCCCAGCAGGCGCCTCCTGCAAGGCTGAAGCCCCAAGACCTCCCCCTGCCCCCCAGTAGGGCAGAAGCCTCTAGCCCCACAACTCTGCCACAGGCAGAAGCCCTGAGCTCCCCCTGCCCCAGTCTGGTAGGTGGAGAACGGAGGGAGTGGGTGTGCGTGGGAGGGTTTCGCAAGCCACACTTTAACTGTAAAAAAGCCACATATGGCTCACGAGCCGCAGTGTGGCCACCTCTATACTAGCCAATGGTGCCTCCCTGACATCAGGTAGTCCACCTTAGAGCTGTCAGCACAAGCCTGACAATCAGTGATACGTACCCCTTGTCTGGCTTTATCTTCACTGTACTGTGAGGCTACTTCACTGAAGCGCACTCCAGACTTCAGCTTCTCCATGGCCTCCATGATTTTGCTGTGCTTTTCACATAGGATGTGTCTAACCTACAATGCAAAAGCAGAGGGAAGTTACATTTAGGGGGCTTGGCTCCCTACAAAACAGTCATTTTATTACAGTTAACTGAATAGGTTCCCGTCAGCGTGTTTCTCAACACAGTAAAACTGAGTCCATTGGAGGGCTTCCCACCTCCAGCCCAGGACATTTTCAATTGCTGTCCCAAACAGCAGCCAGAGCAAAGCAGGTGAGTCCTCTGCCCAGCATGCCTCCTGCTGCTGCAAGTGGCATACCAGCTTGGCAGCGGCCCAGTACCAAGCACTGCATCCAGTCCCAGAGACAGACTGCACTTAGCAGCTGCCTCTGAGAGGCAACTTCATCCCTCTGGATCTTACTGGGCAGTCAAGGGTTGCTGCCATGTGGGCCGGCACAAACCCCTCAACTCCGGAGCCAGACCAAACCCCAGCCCCTCGCTGGGTGCACACAAACTGTGGTTTCCCTCATAGCTGGCCTTGTGCCACCTGCGCACACCACGTGCTTGGCTGAAGACGGCAGCTGGGAAGATGAGCCTATAGCCCTGCTACCCCTCCATGCCCACACTCACCTTCACAGAGCTGCCCCCACCCTTCGGGGCCGGGGCCTGCCTCTCAGCACTGCCCCCGCCGCCAGCGGCTCCTCCTTAGGAACAAACCAGACGTCATTAACAGGGCTCGGCTCCTGGGGTGGCACCATGGTCCGCCACAGACCAGGGCCAGCCTGGAGAGGACACAGACTGCCCTGGGCTGGGGGAATGGACTATGGTCACCCCATCAAGGCGACTGCCCATCTTCCTCTATCCCTCCCCTGACCCAGGGCACTACAGCCCGCCCACCCACCCATCCCCCTTCCTCCGACCCGGGCGCTACAGCCCGCCCACCCATCCACCCCCCCTTCCTCCGACCCGGGGCGCACATCCCCCCTTCTCCGACCCGGGGCGCTACAGCCCGCCCACCCATTCCCCCTTCCTCCGACCCGGGGAGCTACAGCCCGCCCACCCATTCCCCCCCCCCCCGGCCCGGCGCCCCCCCCCCCCCCCCCCCATCCATCCCCTCTTCCCCGATCCGGGGTGCTACAGCCAGCCCGCCCATCCCCTGACCCGGTCGCGCCGCCCGCCCTCACCCTTCCCACTTTTGCCGCCGCTTTTCCCTTTGGGGGGCATCTCCTCAGCCAGAAGTCGCGCACGTGACGCCGCTGAGAGCTAGAGGGCCCCGCTCAGGACCCACCCGGCGGCCTAGCGCGGCGCACCCAGAGCCCGGGCTGTCCGCGCTAAATGCCTGGCGGGGATACGGCGGCTCGCCTCGTGGCCCGCTGGGAACGGCCGCTTGCCGGCTGGGAGCGTGGGTCCCGGCACAGACCCCCGCCCTCAGCGCAGGGAGCGCCCGCGGAGGCTCCCGCCCGCTGCCCCCCATGGTACTCGAGCCGGCCAGCGCCCTTCCCCGCTCTGCCCTCCCCCGCCCCCCCCGGGACTGGGCCCGGCCCCCGCCCCCCACAATGGGCTGTTGCAAACCCTGGATTGAAGTGGTTCAATGGCTCTCACCACTCAACTATACAGATTATCTGGGCAGGGTGATGAGACAGTGAGAAGAAAATGTTTCCTGATCTCTTGTATGGCGTTGTATTGTATCCTGAGTCTGCGCCTTGCCAGTCCTCTAACGCCTGAGTGCCTCAACTCATTAGAAAGCAACAGAGGGTCCTGTGGCACCTTTAAGACTAACAGAAGTATTGGGAGCATAAGCTATCGTGGGTAAGAACCTCACTTCTTCAGATGCAAGTCCCTTCACCTCTGAAGCAGTGAGGTTCTTACCCACGATAACTTATGCTCCCAATACTTCTGTTAGTCTTAAAGGTGCCACAGGACCCTCTGTTGCTTTTTACAGATTCAGACTAACACGGCTACCCCTCTGATACTCAACTCATTAGGAGGCTGTAGAGCACTTAACACACATCTAGGTGTTCTAGAAATAAAAACAATAAGCATGACTAGTGTGGTGTTTAGATGCTGCATGTGATTATTAGAACTGGGAGCACTGGCTGTTGAGAGTCTGAAAGGACAGGAAGGAGCGGGGAGGAGTTGAGGCTGAGTGAGAGTTACAGAGGCTGCAACTGCAGCAGCTTGGTAAAGAGCTTTCCACTGTAAAAATAAAAGTCCTGTTGAAGTTTGTTAGTACCTTGCCTGGTTGATACAACAACTAGCTTGGCAAACATATTTTATAACAAGTGATTCCTTATATAATCATTCCTCTTCCTCACCTTGGGAGAACTGTATTTTGTCAAGCTTTACTTTTCAATAACTAAAAAAAAAAAATCTTAAGCGTTCACATTTTTATCACACTTACTACAAGGGCATCTTACAATCTCAGGGAGATTCTTTATATTTACCTGCCTTTTTCCCTTCTTTACTTCCTTTTTTTAAAATTTGGAGAATTGTTTGCCATGTTGCAACATGTGTACTGCAGCTGTAAAGGATGTGCTATTGGGTAAAATTATTGCCATGCTTTCACTATTGATATCTTGCTTCTAGGTGCTGCTGAGGGAAGGAGAGAAAGCAGCTATGTAACTATCTAGGTATGTAGTGGTGTATATAGGGGACTTTCAGTGAGTGGAATTTCTGCTCAGCTCACCTGACTCCTGAAATGGAGGCCTTATCTATCTATCTTCCCATGGACATTCCTGCTGATTTGTCCCTGTCAAGGCTGTATCCCCACTTTGAACTTTAGGGTACAAATGTAGGG